ATTCTGTCCGTATTCCATAGTCGTGGATTTCAAGCTGTACGATAGACATGGCCAATGAGACACCTTTTTTTGGGGGTGCCGAGTTGACCATGTATCTTAGTGCACTTGTATTCATGGCGAGGCGCAGACGCCGTCTGGAGGTGACAGGTTCAATTCCCGGCACGGTAACTATAGCTTTCGATTTTTATGTTGTCTAGTGTGTTCTTCTATCTTTCTACTTCTTTCTATGAGTGCCGTTCACAATACTTTCTGTTACTCAATTAATTCATAATATTTAACGGCCTCAAATGGTTCCCCTCTCTGTTTATTTATAGGAATGACGTATACACACCGGAACCTACCAATCAAATACCTTTCTTAAATGTTTGTGTATTCTAGACAAGGCAATAAGGTCTACTGTGTACGTAAATTGTTGCTGTGATTGTTATTTGACATTTGCCTCGTTAATATAAATTTCTGTAACCTATGGTGCCATTTCAATGGGTTGAAATGAATTCTGTCCGTATTCCATAGTCGTGGATTTCAAGCTGTACGATAGACATGGCCAATGAGACACCTTTTTTTGGGGGTGCCGAGTTGACCATGTATCTTAGTGCACTTGTATTCATGGCGAGGCGCAGACGCCGTCTGGAGGTGACAGGTTCAATTCCCGGCACGGTAACTATAGCTTTCGATTTTTATGTTGTCTAGTGTGTTCTTCTATCTTTCTACTTCTTTCTATGAGTGCCGTTCACAATACTTTCTGTTACTCAATTAATTCATAATATTTAACGGCCTCAAATGGTTCCCCTCTCTGTTTATTTATAGGAATGACGTATACACACCGGAACCTACCAATCAAATACCTTTCTTAAATGTTTGTGTATTCTAGACAAGGCAATAAGGTCTACTGTGTACGTAAATTGTTGCTGTGATTGTTATTTGACATTTGCCTCGTTAATATAAATTTCTGTAACCTATGGTGCCATTTCAATGGGTTGAAATGAATTCTGTCCGTATTCCATAGTCGTGGATTTCAAGCTGTACGATAGACATGGCCAATGAGACACCTTTTTTTTGGGGGTGCCGAGTTGACCATGTATCTTAGTGCACTTGTATTCATGGCGAGGCGCAGACGCCGTCTGGAGGTGACAGGTTCAATTCCCGGCACGGTAACTATAGCTTTCGATTTTTATGTTGTCTAGTGTGTTCTTCTATCTTTCTACTTCTTTCTATGAGTGCCGTTCACAATACTTTCTGTTACTCAATTAATTCATAATATTTAACGGCCTCAAATGGTTCCCCTCTCTGTTTATTTATAGGAATGACGTATACACACCGGAACCTACCAATCAAATACCTTTCTTAAATGTTTGTGTATTCTAGACAAGGCAATAAGGTCTACTGTGTACGTAAATTGTTGCTGTGATTGTTATTTGACATTTGCCTCGTTAATATAAATTTCTGTAACCTATGGTGCCATTTCAATGGGTTGAAATGAATTCTGTCCGTATTCCATAGTCGTGGATTTCAAGCTGTACGATAGACATGGCCAATGAGACACCTTTTTTTGGGGGTGCCGAGTTGACCATGTATCTTAGTGCACTTGTATTCATGGCGAGGCGCAGACGCCGTCTGGAGGTGACAGGTTCAATTCCCGGCACGGTAACTATAGCTTTCGATTTTTTATGTTGTCTAGTGTGTTCTTCTATCTTTCTACTTCTTTCTATGAGTGCCGTTCACAATACTTTCTGTTACTCAATTAATTCATAATATTTAACGGCCTCAAATGGTTCCCCTCTCTGTTTATTTATAGGAATGACGTATACACACCGGAACCTACCAATCAAATACCTTTCTTAAATGTTTGTGTATTCTAGACAAGGCAATAAGGTCTACTGTGTACGTAAATTGTTGCTGTGATTGTTATTTGACATTTGCCTCGTTAATATAAATTTCTGTAACCTATGGTGCCATTTCAATGGGTTGAAATGAATTCTGTCCGTATTCCATAGTCGTGGATTTCAAGCTGTACGATAGACATGGCCAATGAGACACCTTTTTTTGGGGGTGCCGAGTTGACCATGTATCTTAGTGCACTTGTATTCATGGCGAGGCGCAGACGCCGTCTGGAGGTGACAGGTTCAATTCCCGGCACGGTAACTATAGCTTTCGATTTTTATGTTGTCTAGTGTGTTCTTCTATCTTTCTACTTCTTTCTATGAGTGCCGTTCACAATACTTTCTGTTACTCAATTAATTCATAATATTTAACGGCCTCAAATGGTTCCCCTCTCTGTTTATTTATTGTCCTTTACCACAGTAGAGTAGAGTAAATGTTAGTATCACGAGTAATTACAGTACAAATGAACTTAGTTTCAAATTACTTGACGCCCCCTCCTCCTCCCCCTCCCCCCAAATGAAACCTCCTTAAGTTTCCCTGAGGGTTCCCCCCACCACCACCAGGTCTCACATCACCGGACTATAATTTATGTAAAGAACAAGTAACGGAATCGGTAGAGAAAGATTATTATGGCCTGGAGAGAATGAGGCATGTGGGTGTAACCAGAGGGTCTGGCCGGCTCACTACACTTAGGGGAAAGGCAAGACGGACATATAACCAGATTGTGAACTGTACCATCAGTATTGGAACTCTACGCTGGCCGCTGAAGATGAGGACGGAGCACGCATTGGAATGCCCCGAGTGCTGTGATGTCAATTCTAGACTCAACTCAACTCAATTTAACTCAATTTGTGTAAACACAAAGTTTTTTTTTTAGAATAATGCAATCTTCTGAACAATGACTAAAAGACTTCCCAAACAGATCACATTTACTAGAAAATTCCTGTTGGTGATAGTGAAAATCTGGGCAAAGATAAGGGCGATCACGCTCAGCAAACACTTCAGTAAAATAATGAATCCACTGCGAACATCTATGTTGAAATTGGAACAACTGTTTGCTTTGAGCTGATTTACTAAACATATACTGTACCAACAAATCTCTTTAATATACCCACGCATATTTCTTTTTCATTTCTTGGGCTTAGAAGCTATGCTGATTATGTGTTCAGTGAGAGGCCAACGCCTTTGTATAAAGTCACCAGCCCACTCGCCTTATACAAGTCCAGCCTGGCGACAAACTTAAAGGCATTCTAGTAATCTGTACATATTCAAGGCATGGCTTCTCAAGTTAAACTCCGTCTTAAGAAGTGGTTCTCAACCTTCCTAATGCCGTGACTCTTTAATACAGTCCCTGATGTTGTGGCGACCCCTTAATACAGCTCCTCATGTTGTGGCGACCCCTTAATACAGCTCCTCAAGTTGTGACGACCCCTTAATACAGTTCCTCATGTTGTGGCGACCCCTTAATACAGTTCCTCATATTGTAAAAAAAAAAAAAAAAGGAAAGTTCCCTTTTCACGCCTTTCGGCGCATGGAACATATGGGCAGAGCGTCCCATATTTTTACAGACCATCAGCACTGTGGGTAATGTGGTCAGCATTACGCCGGCTGTCTTTACTTTCCCAGGACAGCGCATCCTGGTACCCATTTTAGGCTGGGTCGACCTGCGACGTCCCATACCACGACAAAAATCCGCGCAGCCTGCAGTGGGTTTCGATCGCGGTATGCTGGCTTACGAGTCGGACTCGCAACTCCTCATGTTGTGGCGACCCCTTAATACAGCTCCTCATGTTGTGGCGACCCCCAGCCATACCATTATTTTCCTCACTACTTCATAAATTCAATGAATTTGTGTTTTGCTATATTCTTTGGGCTACCTGTGAAAAGGTCGTTCGACCCACACACAAAAAGTTTGAAAAGGTTCAGAACCGCTCGTCTAAAGTCTTTTGAAGTGCAGACGTATTTAGGATGTCATCAGCGCAACGTAGCTGCGTAGGTTGTTGTATCCAGCGGCTTTACAGTATCAATCTTTGAACATACAAAGATACATAATGTGACACCCACGCCACAGGGCGTTCTTGCAGTTGCTCTGCCCCTTAACAAAATGTAAAGGGTTTGTCACAAAGGAACTCCTATCAGGCTTTTCACCTGATGGCTGTGGAGATGGGCTCAAAGAACAACATGTGAAGGTGGGCATCAACTGCGAGTAAACGAACGTGGGTCGTGACAGGCAGGTGCCGCCATGAGGACGGAAGCAAATAGGAAACGCTCCGCCTTCTGCCTTGTTAGGGAACGGCTGGCAAGAACAAATCATCATCTGTTGTGTGCCGTAAGACGTCACATAGAGCTCGCATTTGATTCCCCTGCTCCGCTGTATTACATGCAACTTTCTCGATTTCTAACATGGAATTCAGCCAAGCATTTTTAACCTCTCGTCCTAATGTTTTCCCTTGGACGTACTTTTTTCCCCCCTCAAACTGTTTATTTACTTTTTCAGTACTTGTTTTGTAAATCTGTCCTCATTTCGTCTCAGAGTGTGCCTATTATATCTCCACCTTTTGGTCTTATTGCACTCGAAACAGTTGGGTGTCCAGACATTTGCTTGTTGACTGATTGGCTGCTTGGCTGGTTGATTTCCTAGCTGGTTGCTTGATTAGTTGGTTGGCTGGTTGGTTGATTGACAAGTTGGCTGGTTAGTTGATTGACAAGTTGGCTGGTTGCTTAAATAGTTGGTTGGCTGGTTGGTTGATTGACAAGTTGGCTGGTTAGTTGATTAACTGGTTCTCTGATTGGTTAATTGATTTTTTGGCTGTTTTGGTTGATTGATAGGCTCGTTGGTTTACTCACTGGTTCATTCATTGTTTGGCTAACTGGTTGATTGATCGATTGACTATTTGATTGATTGATTGACTTTTTGATTCATTGATTGATTGACTATTTGATTGATTCATTGATTGATTGACTATTTGATTGATTGATTAGTTGGCTTGTTAGTTGATTTATTTATTTTCTGGTTGGTCGTCTGATTGGTTAGCTGTTTTGGTTGATTGATTGATTGGCTGATTGATTATCTGGTTGGTTGATTGATTAGCTGCTTGGCTAGTTCGTTCACTTGTTGACTAGCTACCTGGCAGTTTGTTGGTTTGGTTTTCTGTGCTGTTCGCTGGTACCTTGACTTTCTTCTTTGTTGGTTCGTTGATGCTCTTGATCGTTGAATCTACATTGTCGTTGAAATCGCCTGGGTTCTGAGGAGTGGAACTTGCATCAGTTGAAGTAAGCTTGTTGTAGAGACTCTCTACCCCCTCCCCCACGCCCCCCCCCCCTCCCCCCTCCAAGCCTCCATTACAAAATATAGTTTTAACCAGGTTGGTACTACTACGTTAATGGGATACAATATCATGGCTATTTATCAAGACAAGCAGTGCACAGTAAGAACCACATAGGAAATTATCTATTCTCTGGGATATGCCGGTGTGTTGGTAAATGAACAGGCGGACAGTGGGCTGACTCTGCACACTTGGTGGATTATTGATACATAATAAGGCAGACGCGGTTAAGGTTTTGTGGGAGCACGTGTATAATTTGGAGCTGCAAATTGATCATCACAGTCTTGTGATAATGAGGCAGCTAGGAGTGAAGAGGGGCTATACTCGACCTTCAGAGGAATCAGAAGACGGACATGTAATCAGACTGCCGCTGGCACCATTGGTATTGGAACTCTGCGTTGGCTGCTGAAGATGGGTACGGAGCGCTTAGGAATGCCTCGAGTGCTGTGATGTCGCTTCTTGAATCAAATTAAATCAAATCAAAACAGGAAATAACAGATTGGTTCCCAGTCACATCAGGTGTCAGAAAAGGATTTGTCCTCTCATAGTTGCTCTTTATTATGCAAAAAATTCTTCAGGAGTGTAACGGAGCCATTTTTTTTATCGTTAATGAATGTTATCATTTGTAAATGAGATTAAATACTAAAAATTTATTATGCACTGGAATTCGGTTAAATAGTATCGAGTATAAAGGATAATGTTTGCAGTAATGAATAACTCGAGACATTTGTGCAAGTTGGCTGAAATTGTGCCAGATGAAAAGAAGCAAAAGTCGTGTGTGAAACGTTTGAGAACCTGAGAGGAAAATTGTATTCAAACTTAAAACGAATGAGAAGATTTAGTCTCGTTTTCCATCATGGGACAGTGTTGTCTGGTGGCGCTGGAAGAGTGAAAGTCCGGTGGATCTACAAACTTCTACGTTTATTTATGCACAAGCGTCGACTGTGGGTCCCGAGAAATCTGGCCACCTTGTTCAGTCTGCCAGCTTGCAATGGCCGAACATCGTCTGCTGTCCAAATGAGTGGTTGTGAATAATCTTAGTAAGACTTGAAACGTCAACTATTGGAGATGCTTTAGTTTTTCAGGTAACGACAGATTTAATATTCTGTCATATATTCTTAGACGTCCACGAGCACAGAGACCCATGCGAATGCGTGTATTTCAAGTTGTTGTTTGCGTTCATATGCTGTAAACCCCAAAGGAAAGACCTGGTTGTTCGTCCATTTCCGGACTTTGGATTTGTTCCAGGACCTGAGATTTACGTAGGCATCAATTTTACAGATCTTGCTATTTGTATGCAGACTGTTGGTTCCTTGCCTCTCAGACAGATGCACTCCGACTTTGAATAAAACCCCCAATTTGTGGACTCCTCCGACATGCTTGTTGGGAAGGCAATGGGTCTCTTCTTATTTTCCCTACAATGAGGGCCCGGAACCCAGACAGGGATGTATTTCAAGTGATTTTCACGAATTAAAAACTGATATCATGTAAATGGATGTCTTTAGCCCCCCGCCCCACGAACAATCTGAACATTTAAGGGGCAATTTTGCGAAGATTTGCATCTTGCTGAAAGAATCTACCGCACAGCCTTGCTGATATATACCAAATTCATTCTATTTTTCTGCTACACGAATGTCGAACCTGAAACAATTGTATTGACTAACTCTAACATTACATTTATCAGTATTTCATATCTTAAATTTATTAAACAGGTAGAGTTTCATATGTCGATCAGTACCTATGAATCAATTCTAATTTTACAGTATTTCATTTGCTGAAAGGATTCCCCGGCCAAAGTTTCTTTTAGTTAAACACACAAGATTCAATTTAAATAACTATGACGGTAGAAAGACTATTTGACGTCATTTCTTCGCTGAACTGAAGTCACATGCGCGTTCTTTTCACATGGCTATAGAAAGATTAACAGTCACGTGATAAGACCTGTCGAAACATCACCCGCATCTTTCTCATATTGAGTTACGTTTGGGTAAAGTTCTATATAAAATATCTGTCAGATTCGTACCGTATCTTTTTATGATTTATGTGGTCACTTGGTTTAATACAGGAGCATTTGTGTAAAGCCAACAGTGTCGTGGTGCTTTACAAACTGCATCATAACCACCTATGACGACGGCATTAGGCTTTGCTTAGATTAACACAGCCTAAAAACGTCATCATCGTCGTCGATAAGGCCGTCAATAGACTTTTGTTAAGATAAACAAAACAAAAATATTGTATAAAATGCCCATTTCGGCATTATCCTGCTGTGCTGTAAGAAATCATAAAGAAGGTAAAGTAAAGATCCCGTTTCACGTCCCAGGCGCATCGAGTATATGGGAAGAGCACCCATATTTTTACAGACCATCGGCACTAGGTGGGTAATGTGGTCAGCATTACGCCGGCCGTCTAAACTTCCCCAAGACAGCCATCCTTGTACCAATTTTAGGCTGGGTCGACCTGCTACGCCCCATATCATGATAAAAGTTTACCCAGCCAGTAGTGGGTTTCGATCGCTATACGTTGGAATTACGAGTCGGACTCGCAACGCATAAGCCACTGACGCCGCCCCATCATAAAGTCACTGCAGTTTATTTTTCCAATCCGTTGTATCCTGTGTGTCGGCTCTGTGGCTAAGTCGATGTGAACGCTTCGTAATGCCGGGATGCCGGATTCGATCCCAGCTGCAGGCCATGCGCCTTGCGTTGGTTTCGACAGTGGTATCAAGAAAGCCGACCGTCCAGAGGCAATGGCAAACTACTGGACGTAAATTTGCCTAGAAAAAGCTCACACGCAGGTTGGTTCTACAACGTCCTGTAAAGGATACGCAACTAACCTTGTATCCTGTGCAACGGTTTCAATATCATAGATCGAATGTAGTCAAGAACTGTTGGCCTCTCTCATTAACGTTCGTCGTGGTAGATGTTCCTGTTTTCTCCATACATTAGTTTTCCAATCCAGTGACTATTCAGATTCTTTACTCAGTTCTCCACTGGAAGTGCTCACTATTTCATTCTATTCATTGACTTAAAACTGTTGATACTAGAGATTGTCAAGAGTTTTCTCTCACTTATTCACCTTTCTTGAATTCACTCTATTTAATGTTTATAAATTTCCTTAGACATTTGCTTTCCAACTTCCGTTCCATGTTATTAATGGGCCTCGCACTTTCATGACGTATGTTATAACTGAAGTAACATTACAATTGATAATACGCAATTTGGTTCTAAAATTATATAGAGTTCAACATTTAATTGTTTCGTTCATTGTGCTGTTGTGTCATGATATGCTATATAGGGCTCACAGCGACCCCCCCCCCCTCCCACCCCCCTTTTTTTCTATCATGGGTAATCCTTTGGCACAGTACAGAGCAGCACCTTTGGCTTCTTAATCTCCGTGGCGAAGTGATCAACCGTTTGCCTTGCCCTCTGAAGGTCGTAGGTTCGTTTCACTGCTGCGTCGTTTAGTTCACGAATGCAATTTTAAGGAGAACCCTGTGGATCATCTCCAGAGCTACGGAGTTCGTGCTTTGTGCGATGCTCTCGGCAGACGGCTAGCTTTTTTACAGAGAGATACCGAGCCATATGCCCGGTGCAATTATGTCGATCTGTTCAATTTTAACTGGTTTCCTCAGTCCCTCTATTTCTCACTTCAGTGTCCGTTTGATGAACGTCTGTATCTCACTTCTCAGAATTTGTCCAATATAGCGCCCTCTTCTCTGTCTTGTAACTGTTGATACCAGTGGTTACCCAGACATTCCTCTTATTTCTTAAGTCTTCTAAGTCTGCCAATAGGTATCATGAATTCTTTCTGTGTGTCTTGACAATTTAAATTGCTAACTCAATACGTACCAGCCGGTCTTTGACTTAAGTTTTGTTTGTGATGACTTCAACAATTTTCACCGTTAACTGCGTGGCTTATTTTGAATTTTCCGGGAGTGGGGCGGGACAGGGTGGGGGTAGGGCATGGGAAGGGGTATGAGGTAACCGATACGTTCAGTTGGATTGAGGACCAACGTCACAGCTCTCAGGACACTCCCATAAGCGCTCTGTCCCAATCTCTAGCAACCATCGCAGACTTAAAATCCTGATGGTACCTTTCAGCATATTGGGGTACCGGGTGGCATTGCAACTTGATGTGCATATTTTATGGGAAAGGATTCATTGGTTTGTGCTTGGTTATATGTTGAGAAAACTCCGTAGTTATACATTTGACCAGATAGAGCGAAATATGCCAGGTAATAAAATGGACACAATCCGCATTTATTTAAAAGCCTATGTATATGATGAATGGGGAATCTAAGCACCTATAGAGCTATCTCTAGTGTCATGAGTATCACTTAAGGATTACTTATAACTCACAGAAGAATTTGAAGTTGACGGTTAGGTTCACGTTAATATCCCCAAAAAGAATAGCTCACTTCCCATTCACAAGTTTGTTGTGCTGGTCGACTTTCATGATGATTACGGGTATGTCCTGCTCTGTTATTTGCTTTTAGTGATGTCTTGCATTTACAGAGAAAGAGAATGCCTGTGACATAGGTTGCAGCACTCTCTATAGTGGTTGTATTAGGACCAGTTTCTCCGTGTTTTTGGAGTGTTAAAAGCGCTCGCGTTCTAAAATATACAACACGCGATATCAATGGCGTTGAGGAACACACCCGTAACCTTGTGCCAAGGTGACAGGTGCAGGAACTACCAATCAGAAGTGAGCTAGTGTGTATATGGGCGAGGCGTGGAAAGATCAATGTTACGTTTACCAAGTTGCCAAGTCAAGTCTAGTTTAAGTCACAGCTGGCCATCTGATAACGGACCGGAAGCTGACTAATACAAATTTATCGTATATTCATAATTTCGGAAAATAACCTCTGTACATCAAATGCATATCCTTGATTTCTTACGCCACCCGCAATAATATTTTGTTTAAATATTGGCTGCAGGCGTTCAAAAAGTTTGTCAGGTTTACAACTAGG